AGTGGGCACTTCTTCTCCACCTTGAGAACCTAATCGCCATCTCTTGTGCGCAGCATGGTTTTCGGCGGGCACACTCATGTTCTTCGAATCTGCTTGTGGCCCGTGAAAGACGGACGAAATCATTAGACGCTGGGAAACGCCTTAATGTTGTTTTGGTCGACTTTTGACACGGTTCCTCATGAAAGGCTCCTTTATAAACTACGAGAAATAGGTGTTTCTGGGAACGTTCTCTTCTGAATCGCTGATTTTTTGGATGACCGGACAATGCGAGTCAAAGTTAATGACTTACTCTGCTCCTGTGTTAATGACTAGCGGTGTCCCGCAGGGATCGCTCCTTGGCCCAGAACTTTTCATAATCTACATCAATGACCTCCCGTCGGAACTTCAGTCAGATGCATTGATTTACGCTGACGACTTGAAGTTGTGGATGTAGGTATTCTGTCTTGACGATGCAAACAGAGTACAGGCTACACTTGATACGTTACATGAGTGGTCAGTCAAATGGCGATTGCCCATAAATCACAATAAGTGCTCGGTCCTTCCCATTGGTCCTCCTGAACCTTTCGGGACGTACCACATTAGTGGGGCGTTGCTCAGAACCTCAATCCTCGAAGAAGACCTCGGTGTGTTGGTGTCATCTGATCTACGGACTACGAATGGTTGCTGCTGCCAACAAGATGTCTCATGCCATACGAAGAGCCTTTTCGTGTTTGACTCCAGATATTTTCAGACTCTTGCTTAATTCCCATGTGTGTCTCATTCTCGAATACGGTTTACCTGCCGTCTTCCCTCTCATCAAGTTCCAGTGTTGCCTCATTGAGAAGGTCCAGCGGCGGACATCGAAATACTACTTGCCTTATCCCTTGCGACTTCAGCAGTTGAACCTGTTCTCCTTGGATTATCGTCCATGTCGTGGTGACCAGATTTTCACCAGGCGCATCCTGAGAAGAGATGGGGAAGGAGCTGCAGGCGTTCTTTCAATTCAGTGCAAACTGTTCATCTCGAGGCCACAACTGGAAACTGTTTAAACCCAGAAGGCTCCGGGTTCATCCTGCTATTGCTCTATCAACTCGCGTAGTCAACGATTGGAATGATTTACTGAAACATTTGCTCGATGTCCAGATCGAAGAATCTTTCAAGCGAATGTTGGATTCTCACCTTTTGTGTACCATGGGCCCTTGCAGCTTCCAGTGTAGCTGTCACGGTCCCCTATGGAATACTGTGTAGCAACGAATCGCGGCCTCCACACAATGATCAGGAAGCGGTGGACCTGAGAAAGGATTTTTCCTTCTGCTCTCTACAATCCTATGATTCTGATGAACAACAGCCCCTATTAAAATTCCCGCCAGTGCCATCATCAACAGCATTACAGCAACCATTTGAACTGATTCTTCGCTGCCATAGAACCATGATGACCTATGAAATAAAGAATAAGAAGAGGGAGAGAAGGGGGCCTTACCTGAAAACCTTAATGCCCCAAGCAAACATTCAGGGTCAAGGCGCCTACACCTGGTGTAGACAACGTACCGTCACAAACAGCTGGCTATCGTACAAAGATAAGGCGGCATCGGCGAGACAGTTTCCTTACGGCTTTCACTGCCTCGCGTCATAATCAGCCATTACCCCGCAGATAGCTCAGCACCAAACACACTTTAAACAGGCAATCCGATTAGGAGACGGCAGCAGACGCATCACTGGTGTCGACTGCGAGCCATGTCCTATAAAGTCTCGAGCCAAGCAAAAGGCGAGTCATGTGGACTCCAGCCCAGAAGGCGAGACGGACTAACGTCACTCAGTTTGGTCGGTAGTGACTTCATTTCCCGCTGCCAAGTCAACTTCTGTCCACCTCGAGCCTTGCACCACCATATACCTGGTAGACTGAACAAGGCCCTCTTAGGTAAGCGGTGACCAGGCATAGGTAGCACGTGCCCGAGCCAACGCAACTTATTCAGTGATATCTGTGGTTCTAGGGAGCTAGCATGATTGTCACCACCTAGTACTCGCCTACGCATATCATCTTTACGGACACGCCATTGACATCCGACACCAGCAATGCTTCACAGACAACGATGATCAAAGACTTGAAAGCGCCTCAATCTACAGACCGAAGGGGCCAAGTCTCACTACCATGAAGCAGAACGGCCCTCACTGTGGCATTTTATACACGGCCTTTCATACGGAGGGCAATTCCCTTCTGTCGAAAAAGATGCCGCAGGTTCAAAAAGGCAGCCCTAGCCTTTGCGATGCGTGAGCTGACATCAGTTTCTATGCGCCCATCGTTGCTGATGCAGCTGCCAAGATAAGTGGATTAATCAACCACCTTGAATTCCTCGTTAACAAGCGTCAAGGGGTCATCAAGTGGCTGGTGGTTCTGCAACAACACTGCGCTTTGAAGGTGCGCACTGCATACCAAATAATGGGACCACCCTGGGCAGCCTATTCAGGGTTGATTGTGCCGTCGCAGCGTGGTCGAAAAGCAAGACGATATCGTCCACATAATCAAGATCAACTAACCTTTCTCCAGGCATGACAACAACACCATCGTGAGATTCCGCCAGGGAACACTCAATGATAGAATCCACGACGAAATTGAACAGAAATGGGGAAATCAGACAACCCTGACGTACGCCACTTGTGGTCGGAAAGCGATCCGGTTGGACACCGTAGACCCTGATGCGGCCTGTAGTGTTCGAGTATAGAGCACGAAGGATGTCCACATATTTCGTGGGAACACCTTTCCGCGCAAGTATTTCGAACAGAATGCATCGATCGCCTGAACCGAACGCACTCTTGAAGTTGAGAAACACAGCTATTGTCGGTCTGTGGTATGCGTGGCGCTGTTTTAGCACCTGCCGGAAAGTGAATATATGGCCAATACAACCACTTCCTGGGCAGAAACCGGCTTGCTCTTCCCTAGTCCGAGATTCCTGTTCTGCAGTTAGGCGACCAACGGTAATCGAGGCCAATAATTTTGTCACAACTGGCGTTAGGCTAATACACAGTTAGCACAGTCGGTGCGACTGCCCTTCTTGTATAATGCCACTAAAATCGATTCACTCCAGTTATCCGGGACACTTTCTTCCAGAGATGTTCGAACAGGGAAGTCAGTGCTTTGCAGAGGACTTCACCTCCATCCTCAAATATTGCAGGTGGGAGGGAATCCGGGCCAGCAGCACGAAAACGATTGAGGACTGTGATCGCGTTTCGAACCTCGATCTTCGACGGAGGCTCTAAACTAACCGTCCATGGCTCGTCCTGCATCACCTGAGTAGGAAGAGGTCCGGGAGCAAGGGGTCAGCTGAACTGATCTTGTAAGTGTTGCGCCCAACGAGACATGGCGCTCCTTACTGTGTATCAGCGCACCCGCGCTGCCTCTGATTGTCTCACTGACGCCTGGTTTTCTGGGACTAGGGGTTCGGATCAGCTGGAAGAGCTTGCGGTAATTGCCTACTGCTCCTGCCTCCTTCATTTCGCGAGCGCTACTCGTCCACCATGCTTCCTTGTTAGCACGTAAACTCCGCTTTAGTTCACGCCTAATAGCCCGTCTGGTCACATTGTGTTCAGAGCCAGCTGGGAGGTATCTTCAGAATCCAACAGGTTCACCAACCTCTCGGATGTCCAGTGACTGGTGCGGTGACGATGGATAGTGCCACTAGCAGCTGCTCCTGCATCGTGCATGGCCGCCGAGATCCTATTCCACGGAAGCTCAGTGTCACTAGGACAAGACAGCGAAAGTTCGGTACGCAGTGCGTCTTGACAGGCTTGCCTGACCGAGGGCTGAGACAATTTCTCAGTTGCCAATTGGAGGAGACGCTTTGTGCGCCTTCCGGTAAAGTTCATGGAGAAACGACGGAGTACCAAGGCATGATCAGTCGACACAGGTATTCCAGTACGAGCGGCAATCCAGGATGGAACCACACCACCTGTAACTTATAGCTGTGGTCAATTTGGGTCCATGGTTGGCCAGCTACAGGAGGACGCCAAGCGGCACTTCGGCGCGCACTGCAACAAAAAGCAGTGCTACTAAGAAACAACTGGTGCTCCGCACACAGTTGCAGCAGACGCTCACCGTTGTCAGTCCGTTCGGAGTTAAGCCCATAAGTACCACCCAGCTGAGCTTCTGAAGAGCTCGGACGCCATACTTTTGCGTTCATATCTCCTGAAAGTACTATAATATCTGAACATGTAGTACCGCGTTCAGTTCGTGATGGAATGTCCTTGACAGCATTAGAACTGCAGTCGGTGGGAGTAAAAGCGGAAATTACAAACAAACAGCGTTTCGTACTACTTTGAGAACCAGCTGGTTGATGTGGTCAAACGAACTGCACACAAACGGTTGTTCACCGGAATCCAATCAATTAAGAATGGCTCAGACTTGGAGCTTAGAATGACGCCTACCCCAGCTTGACCCGTGATTGCTGCATCGGTGTCTTCGGATGCGTGCAACCAATAGCGAGAGGACAAGCCAGGCGCAGTTAATTCAACAACCCCAGTAGGGTCATTGATCCTAGTTTCGGACACACACATACGTCAACACCATGTGTGTCCAACGTATGTGCTAGTGCAGCCTGTTGACCTGTTTGTCTTAGAGTGCAAACATTAAACGCCGCCATGGAAACGGGATAGCGTGGCCTTATAAGGGACTTTTGCCGATAGGTGCTGTGGGATGGTGGCTGCAGCTGGTTCTACCCCAGTGGCACTTCGATTGCTGTCAATTAAGCTGGGAATTATAGAAGGAAGGTTACTAATGGGGGTCGGGATGGGAGTAAGAGGAACAGGTGGAAACGAAAGAAGAGAGGCGTCAGCAGTAGCATATTTTCGCTTATCCGCTGTGCATACAGCAGAGTTTATTTTATTTTTGCTGTTTCTGTACCTTCGTTTGAATCCCATGGTTTCTGATGGCATTATGTCTGTTAGCAGACTTTGCAATATATATATATATATATATATATATATATATATATATATATATATATATAAGTATCACTTTTACGTTTCAGCCCCTTGGGTCTACAACGACCCACGTACGGATAGGGAAGCCCTCAATACCCTCGACCGGACGCATAATACAATGATCATTAACCGCCCACGTAGGGCACTACGTCAATGTTGATATGTTGTTGGTCGTTACCTTGGCTGTGCTGTTTTTTATAATTGGGCTCTTTTTTAAATCTGCTTTGGAGTACGCATTCGCTTTCTACCTGTTCTTTAGTGTGTATAGCTATGTGTTAAGCATCTTTGATTGGAATGAATTATTACAAACCGAAGGCTCATACGAGTAGGTTCATATCACTTGGCGTACTAACCTTTCGAGTGATACGAGTACCTCAGAGGAGTTTCCGTTTTTTGATCACGTTGAGGTGACACTCGGGCCACAGACAAATGATGCGCTGCAAGCAGTAAGCACAGATCCGCATACCATGGATTTTCATGCCTTTTAGATTTTTGATATCATCATCGAGCGCTATTTATTGTCATGGTACAGGTAAATCTCCTAAGCCGCCAATATCGTGCTTCAGAAATTTGTCCGGAAGTCCTGATTTTCCAATACAGGCCCGTATGTACCTACAACACCTTTCCTCCGCTCTCATACACAGATCAAAATCGGTGAGTTTGTTACCGACTATTTACGTCAGTCAGATCCAGAAGAAAGATTTTTCGGTTGAACGCTTAGTGAAGTTGGTTTTCGGGCATCTGGAGCACATTACTTCTATTCTGCAATCAAGTAAGCTGATATTGACTAGTTCTTTGCATTAAATTTTCAACTGTCGTTTGTGTATCCGACCTTGCTTGCACACCAATCGGCTGTATAGCATCTGCGACTCTTCTAACGTGTCAAACGTGTGTACCACGCTTTACATTCTGTGCTTCCCGAATTTGCCAGCCATATCACAACACCATGCTAAAAGTGCATCAGCGGTGCAAAGGCGCACCGTACCCACACTTCGCTGCTACGCAACCGCCACCGGACGCGCGTGTGCTGGGTGTATCGCATCGTGTTCGCCTGTCAGATGCACCTGATTGTGAAGTCCATAGACATCACCATTCACAGTATTCCAACTTGAGCGTTCAAGGCAGTACAGTATCCATACTACTGTGTGAAATGAGCTCGTTCAAATGACAATGTAGGTCCTCTTTGACGGTTTTTTGGTTGAGTGGCTCGTTATCTGTAGTGATAAAAGCATCTGTTGTCCTAGCTCGATTTCAAAGCTCTAAAGGAGCCAGCTAGTCTGACAGCACACATCCAGCTAATGATTGATCTTGTCCATAAGTTTACCTACAGTGCGTGGGCGCCGAGCAATACGTATACCGGCTTGATCGATGTTTGAAGCTACGTCATCGGATAGACGCAGTGAAAAAGTGCCGCCATAATCATAGGATAGGTTGATCAAGTAGACACTACTCCACTTTTGCATGTGGGATTCTAATAAGCAGCAGATGTCACTTGTTTGGGTCTTTTCTCCTCGGGCAAATGCTATCGACTGACAGATCTGCACCAAAGAACGCACTTGTTTAGACTCGATTAGATAAACTGCAATCGTCTATTTGACGACACATAGGCTTGTCGACAGGCATATGTGATTCTGTGATAGCGCATATGACTCGAACCTAGAATACGGACGACTATTAGAGCGAAATGGTAATGGGCTGAGAATCAGGAGGGTGAAAAAAGGAAGAGGTCGGAACGGGAAGCTGGGGCTGCGGAAGTATAAGGAGCGGGATAGGAAGACGAGGTTTGGCTAGTAACGCTTTAACTCTTGTCCCCTTCGCTCGATATGGCTGCTAGTGCGCCTTTTAAATATCTGCGGCAGCCTGGGTATCACGAGTTCGTTTGAAGAATTTATCATTGTATTGCGTGCGTAGGATACTGTTAGATTGCTCGGGTTTAGACGGGAAGATGATTCTGGTTTTTAACTAAAGACTTCGGTTCGAAAACACGGTCACAAGGCAGCGCGCGTTTTGTAGTCAACTATAGAGAGTCCGTTTCAATGTGTGAGAATCCGCCCTCAGTCCAACTCGCTAGCTTTTGGACCCTGCGACTAATTTGTCCGGCATCTTACCATTGACCAGTGTGATATGACTGGTTTCGAAGACTCAGAAAGCACCACCCGGCACAACTCATGAAATCTTCGAGGTACCCAGACCAACATACCATATTGTAACGTTCAGCCATGGCGACGAGCCTGTACTTTAACGTGGTGCGATGGTTTGCATGCCTCAACGATCCATTAGGCTATTGTATTTGTTGCTTTTTCATTTTCTGAGCCGCTCATACCAGCTTTGTCTTTGGTCAGGGATCTGACAAATTCCGTCTCCTGGCCCTCCAGTTTGGGGGCTGGATTAAGTGTGGCTCATTACTCCATGAAACTGACTCACTATAGCCCAGTGCCAAACCATGCCCTTTCCTTCTAACAACCTCTTGATGCTTTGGCCGTCGCAGAGGATAATAAACCACGCTCTATCTGCTGCATCGAGCAGGGTGGATGGGGGTTTGGGTGCTACCAATCAGGGCATCCCGCCTTCTTATTCCCCATCTTGCGCTTTTTCATCCTTAACGTCCAGTTCCAACTTCACTTCCATTCCCCCGTTTTCATTCCCCCAATTCTTGGCTCACCCCCACTTGCTTGAATAGTCGCTTGTATTCTAGTTTCAACTCACATAATCGCATGGCGTCGCTCCAATCCAGTCGACAATCCATATTCAACCAAGTGGACGTCAGTTCATCCGTTTCCTTTTGGAGCCCTCGATCCTCGCTAAGACTCGCATGCCTGAACGTGCGCACTTTGCTGCAGATTGACCAAGAGGCAGCACTTGCCCGAAAACTTGGGACCCTCTGGATAGATATTTGCTGTTTATCGGAAACCCGCCTACAAGAATCGAGCTCCGTGCATACTCTGCCATCCCCCACATGCCCTACTGACGGCACATTCTCATTGCGCCTATCTGGCGATGATGCAGCTTAAAATGCAGGTCAAGTTGGGGTCGGCATCATTTTGAGTCCCCGGGCTGAAGCTGCACTGATCGACTGGACCCCTGTCAACAGCCGGATGTGCGCCGTTAGGTCGGCTGGCTCGTTCCGGACTTCGAAGTCGCGCGGAGAGTAACGGTGCCTGTTTGTCATTGCGGCTTACACCCCAACAAACTGCAGCCTTGACTCGGTGAAAGATGATTTCTATCGCCAACTTAACGATCTTCTTCGTTATAGAAGAAGCACGGATACCGTGATGCTTGCTGAGGATCTAAATGTCCAAGTCGGAATATTTTCCTCTTATGAGCTTCATCTGGGTGGTCAACATGGTGTCGGCTCCCGTAATGATAACGGTGAGCGATTGCTAAACCTTTGTGAAGGTGCTCGTTCCTTTTTTGCGAGCAGTAACTTTCGATATAGCGCCCGCAGAAGAGTGACTTGACGCCCACCAGCCTCGGGTCAGCCATGGACGCAAATTGATTACATCGCGATTAGTTATCGTTTTAGAGGCTGTGTCCAAAACTGTCGCTCTATTTGAAGCACCAGCGTGAACTCCGATCACGCTTCAGTGTATGCCGACCTGCACGTGCTTTTCTGCGGACGTTCGCAACCTCGCTCTGAGCGCATTAACAGCAGCCAGCTGGCAAAGCCAGGTGTTCTGATTACGTATCCAAACTACGTTAGCATCTGGGTTGAGTAAGTGCCCACTGAACACCGTCGAAGTTCAGTAGATGCATATTCACCAAACGTTGCTATCAGCAGGCATGTCTTCATGTGGCAAATCAAGTTGCCAACCTAGACATTGGGTCTCTACAAACTCTCTGAAACTTATGGATGCTCACCGGCGTATTCCCGCTGGAAGCGAATACAATGAGACTCAAAAATCTCAGGATAAAACTGCATGCTAGCCTGAAGACCGCGAAGCCTGGTGGTCTCATCGTGCATCGGAACTGGAAACAGCCGCTACCGTTGGTAATCATCGTAAGTTATTCCGTCTTATACGGGAAATAAGCAGCAGGAAATGTGGTGTTAGCGAGGCAATACGCGATGAGAGCGGACAGCCAATCCACAACTTGTCAAAACGCTTGGAGCGTTAGGCAGTTTAACCAATCTGGGTTATCGCTATCTCTTTCGGGCATTGCGTGCCCTTATTTATGGGCCGTGTCCTTAGATTCGCTCTCACGTGCAGAAGTCGAATGTGAGACCAGACTGTTGAAATTGTATAAGGCCGCCGATACAGCTAGAATTCCTCCAGCTCTACAAATTCGGGAGACCTGCTCTTGTAGATGATTTACACGAGTTGCTAATGGAATTTGGGAACAGGAAGTTGTCCGGGAAGACCGGAGCCGCTCCTTCACAGTCCCAACTTTCAAGGGAGGATCCCGTTCGGAATGCGGCAACCATAGAGGGATCAGTCTGATCTCAATTGCCTCTTAGTTGCTTGTGTCTGTCGTTCTCCATAGACTGACTGGCACTCGTGAAGGCCAGATCCGCGATGAGCAAGCCGTGTTTCGTCGAAATCGAGGCTGCAACAACCACATCACTTTGCGTCAATTGTTGGAGCACCGCCATGTTTATAGGCAACCAACCGTTGTCGTGCTTTTCGACATTAAAGGTGCCTTCGATTTGGTTGATCGATGTGCTTTTTGGGACTGTCTGCTGAGGAAAGGGGTGCCTGATAAATATGTAAACATTATCAAAGCGCTGTACGCGCATAGTTCGGGCAGATTGAAGGTTTATGGTAAACTGTCGCTGCCCTTCAGTATCTCCAATGGTGTGAGATAAGCATGCCCGCTGTCACCTTTCCTCTTTCACTTCGTTATCGCTGGACGTGACTTAGAAGGTGTGGTGCTACTTCCTCGTGAGCGACTTCTTGACTTGGAGTATGCGGACGACATTGCCCTCCTATGTGACAGAGCCCGAACGTGCCAGGCTGCACTGGACCGATTAGCACTGGCTGTCAATCGTATTGGGCTATGCTTCGCTCCATCGAAATGCGAAGTTCTTCTGCAAGATTGTCAGGGACCCAACCCTGCGCTAACGCTTGGTGGTGATTAGCTAGAAGTCGTTCAGGAATTCAAATACCTGGGCAGCTATATTAGCACCCGTGGGATCGAAGCTGAGATAACGAACCGTATAGCAAAAGCTCGAGGTGCTTTTGCCAATCTTCATAACCTGCGTCGCAGACGCGACATTACTCTCGCCCTAGAGGGCAGAGTTTCTAATGCAGCCGTCCGTTCAACCCACTTCTACGATTGTCAAACCTGACCCATCAGGTCGACAGACATAAGGAAGCTAATCACGTTCGATCATCACTGCCTCCGCAGCTTAGCTCATGTCTGGTGGGAGCACCGCGTAAGCAATGAGCGTGTTCTGCGTAGCGTATTTGGTGCAGGAAGAGCTAGGGAACTGCTCAGCACCATTATATCACGCACCAAGTTTTGATGGCTGGGCCACGTGTTGCGCATGCCAGCACACCGACTCCCGCGTCGTGCATTGTTTGCGCGCCGGGGGTGCGGTTGGAAGACGAGGATGGGAGGTCAAGCGATGAATTTGTCGAGAGAAATGAAAACCCTCACTTCGAAGCTGGCGTCGGTTGGTGCATCCCGACTGTCTGGCTGGGGTCATAAGGATGATGAACACGCTTGGTTGGACACTTCCTGGTATGGCTAGGAGCCGGTCCCAATGGCGTTTGCGTTGTGAGTCCCTTTCTCCATCCCCACCTGCTTAGCCTCATCAAAGCACGATATCATTCG